TTAGCTTGAAGGTTCTTGTCTCATTCAACAGTCCGGCCGCTGGTCCTTTTGTGTACTTGTTCAGCCTCTCTCCTTCCACTTTACCATATTTACCTATGATGTTCATTATAATTTCATTTTCCATTTCAAAGGGAGCATCTTTAACTGATTCATGAGTTAAAGTTTTACTAAAATTCATCACTTTAAGAGTCTCATCACTGTTAGGAATTCTTATAGTTTTGTCTTCATATTCCTCACAAAATTTGTCAAAAACAATGTTTTCCCAAAATTTCACCACTGCCTTATGTTTCTTAACCCTTCGGCCCTGGGTGACGTTTCAGAACGTCCGCCTATTCTCGCCACTGTTTAAATGCCCAGCATGGGTTATCAAGTTCTTGTGTGACTATTTTCCTCTCATACCACTCGGTCGGCCACAGGGAAGCTTCTTGAACAAAATTACCTACTTTTGTTTGTTTCATTTTCATTGTTTGTCCATTTTATCATGTTGTATCAAAGTAATATTGCTAAAAGTAGTGTACTTGTATTGTAGTATTACTGTTAAACAATGCTACGATTATGTGGGGTATGCTATAACGAACGGATCCTACTACGAAATATTCCTAAAACGAACGGTTTTACCTATAAAATTGAGAATGCTATAACGAACGAAACTCCTACAGCGAATATTATTTAATTTTTTTTTTTTTTTTTTACTAATTTATTGTTTTTTATGATTAAGTATGAATGATATTCTTTATTTCAGGGGTTTAGATGCATATTTATGCACTTTTTTACAATTTTTACAATTTTATATTATATTTTTCAGTGTTAAGTGGTTGTATTTGGGGGCCTGGAACGGATTAATCCTATAACGAACGAATGCTATAACGAACAAGGTTCTAGAACCAATTAGATTTGTTATGCATTACTTGCACTACCAAACACAAAGACAGCCAGACAGACTGGCGACCGACTGGTGAGTGTTTCCAAGCACTTTTTTACGATAAATTATGCAAATAAAATATTCTAATTGAATTATTTATAGCAAATAAGTATTAAGATCGGTAAATATATACATTATTGGCCACCTCGGACACAAAGGCGAGCTTAAAATAGCTGCTAAGTGAGTAGGGACCACGAGCGTCAGCTGTCAAACCAACACTGTCTCCTTATCTCCCCCCTCCTCCCTCTCTCTGGCGATCACAAAAAGTTTCTAGAGGGTCAATATATACAGTAGTTCTTCTTGCTTAATTTTTATTGTTTTATCATTTTAAAAGGTTAAAAGTTATATTTGGAAAAACTGATTTTTCTCGATTTACCCCCGGGTAGGGGATACTGCCACCAGCACCCTAACCCGAGGCTTAAGGGTAGTTGAAAGCCAACTTTTTGTTCCTGTTTTATTTTCAATATGTCAAATAATGCCTTACATACATTTTCATATTCAGGCTTACATGAAGACAACAGTCTGATAGAGTTTTTTCAGACCACCCCTGCAGTTTATTTAGATCCTCCTGTAATGCATTTGCATCCTGCCCTGAATTAATTTGCCGCCCTATTTTGGTGTCATCCGAAAGAACATAAGAAAATAAGGAGTCTGCAATAGGCCGGTTGGCCTGCGCATGGCAGCTCCTATCGAGAGTTACTACCACTCTCTATCATCCATGAATCTATCTAGCCTCCTTTTGAAACTTTCCAGAGTTCCCGCACTTACTACAAAGTTGCTAAGCTTGTTCCACTCGTCCACCACCCTATTTGTGAACCAGTTTCTTCCTATCTCCTCCTAAACCTAAACTTATCCAACTTGAATCCGTTGCTCCGAGTCCTATCCTGCTCGGATATTATAAGAACTTTATCTATATCCCCTTTATTGATTCCTTTCACCCACTTAAATACTTCTATCATATCTCCCCGCACTCTTCGTCTTTCTAGGGAATGCAAGTTAAGTTTCTTTAACCTATCCTGATATGGAAGGTTTCTAAGTCCCGGAATCATTTTTGTCATTCTTCGCTGCACCGACTCTAGTGAATTTATATCCATTCTATAATAGGGGCACCAGAACTGAACCGCATAATCGAGGTGCGGCCTGACTAGCGCAAGATATAGTTGCAATAAGACCTCTGCACTCTTGTTACTTACACTTCTAGATATAAAACCCAATACTCTGTTTGCCTTATTTCGAACATTAACGCACTGTTTTCTAGGCCGTAGGTCCGGGCTTACAAGTACCCCTAGGTCTCTTTCACAAGTCGACTTCTCTAGGTTGATGTTGTTAAGGCTGTATACATTATAAGTATTTGTTCTTCCAATATTAAGTACGCTGCACTTGCTGGTGTTGAATTTCATTTGCCATTTTTCAGACCACCCCTGCAGTTTATTTAGATCCTCCTGTAATGCATTTGCATCCTGCCCTGAATTAATTTGCCGCCCTATTTTGGTGTCATCCGCAAACTTGCTTATGTCACTGCTGATCCCAGTATCTAAATCGTTTATGTAGATTATGAACAAGAGTGGGCCTAGTACTGACCCCTGGGGAACCCCACTGGTTACACGGCCCCACTCAGATTTAACACCATCTACGCTCACCCTCTGCGTTCTATCGGTGAGCCATGATTTTATCCAATTTAAAACTTTCCCCTCGATACCATGAGCCTTAATTTTTCTCAGAAGCCTCTGATGCGGTACTCTGTCAAATGCTTTGCTAAAGTCTAAGTAAATATCATCGTAATTTTCGTCATTATCTACTACCTCGAAGACTTTCCTAAAAAACGTTAGCAGATTTGTTAGACAAGATTTTCCCTTTGTAAACCCATGTTGAGAGTCGTAGATTAATTTGCTTTTCTCTAGATGCGATCGGATGCTATCTGCTATAACTGATTCAAGAAATTTCCCCACTACTGACGTCAAACTGATCGGCCGGTAATTTGACGCTGATGCTCTGTCTCCCTTTTTGAATATGGGTACTACATTTGCCTGTTTCCACAACTCTGGCACAACTCCAGTGTCTAATGATTTTGTAAATAAGTTTACGAGGGGTCCGCTAATCTGTTCCCTACACTCTTTTAAGACTCGAGGAAAAATTTCATCCGGCCCTGGGGATTTTGTATTCTTTAGTTTATTTATCTTCTTAAGAACATCCTCTTTTCTGATAGTGATATTCTTTAATTTCTCTTCTTCCTTTCCCTTAAATATCAGTTCCACCTCCGGAATTTCATCGCAAATTTCTTCTGTGAAAACTGATAAGAAGTAGCTGTTCAATGCTTTGCTTATTTCTTCACTGCCATTTATAAATTCTCCCCTCCCTGACTTTAAAGGCCCAACTTTGTCCTTGACCTTTGTCCTATATACCTGGAAAAATCCCTTGGGATTCGCCTTGGATTCTCTTGCTATTTTGATTTCATAGTCTCTCTTTGTTTTCCTTACATTTTTCTTAACATTCCTAGATAGTCTTAACATTCCTAGATAGAGACTCAGTCAGGGCTTCTCGTCTCAGATGAATCATGCTACCCAGTCAGGCATAACAACTGTTCATATGTAGTCCAAGTAAATCTTTCATTATGTTTCCCCAACTTTATAAAATATCATCAGACAAAACTGTGAGGATAGTTTGGTGGCTCACTGTACACGGCGAGGCTTTAGGGATCAAGAATACGTACAGTGCTCCAGGTCGCTCTGTCCTCCTCTCGGGTGTTTGTGATTATCTATAAGACCACTGGAGAGTAAGTCTCTAGCGACACTCTAAAGTCATCCTTAAATGATCATGAAGAGTCACCACTACACTACCTCACATACACACACACACACACACACACACACACACACACACACACACACACACACACATTACTTTAATGAAATTTCTAATTGAATTGCAAAATTAAGTAATTCTCTCCGCTAGGCAGGTTA